TCATTGCAGACAACACTTTCAAAATCTGCCCTCTGTGCTGTCCCAAGATGGGACTCGAGGGGGTCCAAATATTCCAGTTTCTGGTGTAATTGAACCCTTGCAGATATACTGTGTGCAGGGAGAAAACAGCACAAGGCCACATAGACAACATGTATTCACATACATGTACATGCATAAGGTAGAATTAAATCTTGACTTATTTAGTGAAATATTAAAATACATCTATACTGAAGTTATTATTTGACTTCTGGAGTAGATGCAGGTTATTTCAACACAGCACTCCGTTTACCTTAAAATAGAATCTGGTCGCAGTGGTCATGTGATTATATACAAGAAAGTTTTGCTGAACCGAAGAAGTCTACTGCTATGATTATTCTTAGACATTTTTTTGAAGAAAGAAAATATTTATTTACTTTTGTTTTGCGTGTTTGCCCTCATGTATGTATGTATATATATATATATATATATATATATATATATATATATATATATACACTACATGCAAACCTGGTGCCAACAGAGAGCACAAAGGGGCATCGGAGCCCCTGGAACTAGAGTTATAGATAGCTGTGAGTTGTCATGTGGGTGCTAGGAACTGAACCTGAGTCCTCTGTAAGACCCAGCAAGTGCTCTTAACCACTGGGTCATCTCTCCCACCCCTGTTCTAGTTCTTTCAGACCTAACACACGTACATGGTTAGCTAACAAAAATCGATACAAAGATTTGCAGAGAGCAAGAATGTATCTTACATGCAGTGAAGAAAAGCATTTTGTGCAAGACGGGAAGTCCTCCCTTCTCTGCAACTCTGGAGAGCTGAGACCAGGAGAGCGGGAGAGATGGAGGGGTCAGTATGGGGAAGGGGATACAGCAAGTTTTTTTTTTAAATATTTATTTATTATGTATACAATATTTTGTCTGTGTGTATGTCTGCAGGCCAGAAGAGGGCCCCAGACCCCATTACAGATGGTTGTGAGCCACCATGTGGTTGCCGGGAATTGAACTCAGGACTTTCGGAAGAGGAGGCAATGCTCTTAACCACTGAGCCATCTCTCCAGCCCACAGCAAGTTTTTGAAGTGACCTGAGCTGGCCTTCTTGCCCTTATGGAGCAGGAAGGCAAGACGAGGCAGAACAGATCTGTTGGCAGGGACTGGACAAAAAAACCAGCAAACCGTCTCCTGCTGGAGCCCAACAGTTGCACGCTGTGAGCCACCTATGGTACCAAATGCATGGCATTTGGTACAGCTGTCTGATTTCAGAGGTTTATTGGTGTTAACCCTGGTCTGGTGCTGCTGCGACAGGAAGCTTCCTCTTCCTAGGGACCTCGGTGCTTATTTATCTAACAGTGTGTCTGGGCCGAATGTAAATAAAACAACGTGACGTCACCCTGGCTTTATGTGATGCAGTTCTTCCTTGTAGAAACAGCCCAGAGTAGCATTCTGATTCAGCAGTGTGACCCCACAGTTATATTTTCTTAGATGTCTTGTGAAATGGCAACAATAATATTGATATAATATGTGCATGTCATTAGGACTGGGGATGTGGCTCAGTAGTGGAGTGCTGGGCAGACACGTCCAAGGACCCAGGTTCACTCCCAGGACAACAAAAAGACTACAATTAATGCTGTATTAGAAAATATAATATTATTATGAAAATTAGGCAAGTCAGTATACTAGAAGTTCTTGGGCTCAGTGTTTGGCAGAGAGTGAAAACTTTGTCAGCCTTATTCTTAATATTATACTCACATACTCCTTACATATAATGCTAAAATATTCATTTCTAAAAGACTTTGTATTCCAGAGACAAGGTCTCATTATGCTGCACACGTTGTGAATTCTGGAATTGAAGAAATCTTTTGTCTTACCTGTGGCCTAGCTAGCTCTACTGGAGTGTCACTACACCAAGTTCATGGACATACTTCTTTGACCAGAATTCTGATTATGTCTTTCCATAGTTCTTTTTATGATTACTTAGAACAAAGAATGGGATTGCATTCACTCTAACAGCTGGCTTCATTAGTCTACCAAGAAAATTTCTCGAGTGGACAAGTTTAAATTCTTGTAATAAATGTTACTTGGTAAATTATGAAACTAACTGAAGCTCGTGCAGAAGTCTGGTGTCTTTAAAACTTCTTGGTGATAATCTATTAGAGAAGAAGAGAAAAGAAAATGAAGCCACGCACGTCTGTCTGTTTCCAGTCAGCTGCAAAGTGGAGCACAAGAAGACACTGAGCTGGACAGACCTTGCCACCCCTGGCCTCCTGCAACCCTGGAGGACCTTCTAGCCTGCCTGCTCCTTTCTGAACACCTGCTGCAAATCCCTCACTTTGCATTGCTATTGGACTTTCAGATCCCTCCAGATCATCGGCCTTTCTAGCTGAGGGTGTGACTTTTGACTAACCTTTGGCCTAGGTCATCAGTTAAGCTAACCATGATCCCCAGCCCCTTTCATCTTTTGCCTTTTTAAGGACAATGCCAGACATGCATAACTTAACACTTACTTTGGCCGTCACAAGCCATTCTTAGGTGATGAAACTCACAAGGCAGGTGCCGTAAGGGGTATTTACTTGGAATGTAATTATGGAGAGCTTTAAAGAAAGGTCTTAGACTGATGGTCTCAGAGAGAAAAGAAAAAAGAAAAACCAGCCTGTGTGGCTTTATTTTAATGTCTTCTCTCCCCCGACACCCGCAGGGGAAGCCAACTGTAATTCTTGGCATGGGTAGTCTTAGGATCTTTTTTACATTTTAGAAGTAGGGGCCAGTTGTAGGACTATGGTGAAGATTAAATATCAGAGTCTATCCCTGTACTCAAGTGGATGTTTGTTTTTCAGAAAGAACAGGATATATACAGGTGTCTATAATACACAGCAAAGAAAAAGAGGTTGTAAGTCAGGTAAGGGAGACGAGCAAACAGTGAGCAGATTGAGAAGAAGAACTCTAGGACTCTATGTAAGAGGAGGTAGCCAGAGACTTGGTGACGCAAGCCTGCAACCCCAGTCCTGGGGAGATTGAGGAAGGGGGTATGGCCAGAAGGTTGAGGAGACCCCATCCCTAAACGGGGAGAAGGGAAAGAAGGGAAGGTAGAAGGGGATTACATATTAAGATCAATCATGAAAGATTTAGTGTCTGAGATTTGATACAGAGACAAGTAGAAGGAAAGAGAATGGGACAAACATTTGAAATCACAAGGCCACAGGAAGAAGTAGGGAAAGTGGATCACAGAGTGAAGTCATTCCATTGGTTGGTGCAACACATGCAGAGTCTGTGGAAAGGGAATAGGAAGGGATGATGGGCCGGCAGGGTTTGCAGGTGGCCTTGCTCTGGCAGTGTCTGTCTGTATGATAGGTGACACCCTGAGGGATTGGCAGCAGGGAAGTGATGTGGCCACAGCTGTGGATCTGGGGAGAATTAGGAAGCCGCATGAGTCAGATGTAGTGGCACCTGCCTGTAATTCCACCATAAGAGAGGCTGACACAGAGTGAACATAAGTTCAAGACCACCAGGGTCTTATGTGGTAAAACTGTCTAATAAAGGAAAAAAGAAAAGAAAAGATAGGAGAAATAAGACAGCACGCTTATTATGGGGAGAGGGGAGAGATGTCAGCTGGTGATAATTTCTTTTCTAGGCCAAGGACAATGAGTTTTGTTCCACATGAAAACAGTGACCTTGAAAGGGGAAGATGGTGTGGATATTCTTTGTAAGTTTATAACATTGTTCCTAAAAATAAAAGGACAATTATTTTTTAAATAATTTATTTGTAATAAGTTAACAGTTAAATAGCAAATTATGATCAATGATTAAGAAATGACACAACACATCAACAGGTAAAATCTTTGGTTGACAGAGCTACTCACATTCTATAGCGAGTGGTAATGTCATATCACAAGAGAAGCATATGAAGATGACTAAGGTTAACATAACGATAAGGCGCTTGCTCATTTTCAGTTCCAAGTATATGGTGACTGACCAGCGCCATGGACGGGCTAGAGAGAGGGTCAGGAGACAGGCGTCTGTGTCCTGTGCTGACAGACCTTGAGACAAACCTGTTTTCTTCGCTGTGCAATGGAGTAACACAGTCTATATAAAACAAGGTCCTGCTTAAATGTGGTTTCTAAATATTTCCATTACTGTCCAAAGCAGACCAAATACTCACTTTAGTTCAAAGAACAGAGAAGCGTAGTCCTGTTCAAATGGCCCATAAACAGATGTAGCATCTGGTAGATGATAATGTGTTTGAACTATGAAGTCTTATTACTTGGTCCATCAAAGAAAACCATAGTGGGAGTTTTGAATTAGCTTCCGGTCTCACACATATCATGACTACGTTTGGGACCACATGTGATTAGAGTTGGCTTTTTGTTTGTTTATTGTTTGTTTTGGTTTAATTCATTAACAGTTATGTTAATTTAATTCAACTTGATACAGAAAATTAAAGCTGAATAAATACATCCCATATAATAACATTGTAAAGGTTTATTCGCCTACAAATGGATTTCCTCTAGGGTTTCTTTAAATAAGTGTCCCCCTTGTTTACTGTAATGATGATGCAACCTCCTCACATCTTTTTGGGATCCTTGAAGCATTTCAGTGGGAGCCCCCCTCTGAGCACAGACTTAAGTTCCAGCAATCAGGAAAGTGGGTGTGGTCTGTGTAGAGCAAAATTTTTGCATCTAAGCTGGGCGATGGTGGCGCCCGCCTTTAATCCCAGCACTCAGGAGGCAGAGGCAGGTGGACCTCTGCAAGTTCGAGGCCAGCCTGGTCTACAAGAGCTAGTTGCAGGACAGGAACCAAAAGCTACGGAGAAACCCTATCTCGAAAATAAAAAAAAATAAAAAAAAAATTGCATCTAGGGACTGAGGGCCTCCGTGCTTTCTTCATGTTCAAAGAATCTAAATAAAAGCAAAGTCCCTGGGGCCGGAGAGGTGGCTCAGAGATTAAAAGCACTGGTTGCTCTTCCAGAGGTCCTGAGTTCAATTCCCAGCAACCACACAGTGGCTCACAATTATCTGTAATGAGATCTGGTGCCCTCTTCTGGCCTGCAGGTAGAGCACTGATACGTAATAAATTGGAGGAAAAAAAAATCCTTAAAAACAAAGTCACTGTCAAATGTACTTTATTTAATGCCAGATGTGAGGGCAGTGGGACTTAACTGACAACTACCATTAAAACTTAGAAATGTCCCACTTCCTGGTAAATAGGGGACAAGCTTGAACCTCCCACAGCTGGTGCGAACGATATACTCTCTAGGGTGGAAGGAAGGACTCCAGCAGCCTCTATGGTTCCCTGTCTCTAACTGTTTCTGTGGGGAAATGAACCAAGTGAGGTTAAACAAAGGACTTAGAGGGAAACCCATTGTGCTACAAGTGCATTGGCTAAATCGACCTTAATGATGTGGTTACCTATGAATAAAATACTTTCCAGAGGGACATTTAAATTCTGTATTGTGTAGACACTGTAAATTCTTAACCACAATCCATAGCTCTCCCACCTATGATTGGACAATCATAAAGCCAAAAGAACTCTGGGGAAATAAAATGTCCCAGATATAGACATCTGCCTTTGACGGCTCAACTGCTGGGTTCATCATTGAATCCAAGTTCCATGAGGAACAGAATGGTGTGGAGTGAGGACTGGAGCATCCACACTATTCCACTGGTTTGCCGGGTGCTACCCCGCCCCAGCTTAAGAGCCAGCCAATGCTCCCTGGTCTTCAATGTACTGGTTCATTAGCAAGTTCATTAGCATCTGGTCCCTTATTTCTTTTGTCTGCTCGCAGCAAAATGTGAAATGCCAACATTTGTGTTTTTCATAATTATTGACTTGTGCAGGACTGTTAAGTCAGCAGGAATTTAGGCTGCATTAATAGTTTTAGTACCCAATGTGTCAAACTAAGGGGTTTGCTCCCTCATTCCAGCTCATTTTTAATAAGAAAACTTATTTGAAGTCTATCTCCTAAATTACCAGGGTTTTTCTTCAAATGAATAAAATCCACTATTTGATTTCAGAGGCTCAACTTCGAAGTCAACATTACAAATCTGTGTTTTGTCCCTCCCCTGACCTCCTCCTCTTTTGAGGCTGGATCTCATGTATTCCGGGTTGACCTCAAATTTACTATGTAGCCAAGTAGGTTATCATGAGTCTATAGAGGTCGAAGGACATGGAGCCTTTCCACCCACAGAATCCTCACTGCTTTGCCCAAAGGGACATCCCTCCAGAGATGACCCATGCCTCTCTGGGGTTGGTTTTCCACAGTGGCTACCATTTCATTCCTCAGTCTTAAGGCTTCTTGTATTTACCCTCAATCAGACACATCTCCTTTTTCAAAGCAAACTTTTAAATATATTCAGAGGGCAACAAGCATCATTCATTCCTCTGAGATCCAGTGTAAGGAAATCCTCATTACTGAAATCATGAGCAAGGCGGCGGTTTAAACTTAACGGTTGTTTTGCTGTTTTGCAATCGTCTCGCGCACACTTACACGGAGCAAGTTCTTCTGCCTAAAGTCCTGGGGTAATGAGGCTAGAGCAACAACATTCCTCAAGCCCCTTGCGGCTCTCAGCTTCTGTCCCCATCACTTCCTGCGTCACACCTCTCCATAGCATAGCACACACACAACCACAGAACTCTTCAATAGTGCCCCAGTGACTGACAGTCATAGCCACCCTAGGGAGCCTCACGGCTGGGGCCAGGGGAAGCAACTCCATAGTCTTTGAGTAGAAGTCTTTCATCCATGTCTGGCAGGTGGGGCTCTTGGGGAAAGAGCCCCAGAATGTTTCCCTGAGCAGCTACTCCCGCTTGCTGTAGGCTTTGCTCTCCCAAGACCTTGACCAAGAAGTTGATATACCTCATTGCCAAGCGAAGCGTTTCATTTTTGCTCAGCTTCTTGTCTGGAGGGTGAGTGGGGATGAGTTTCCTCAGCTTGGCGAAGGCGCTGTTGACACTCTGCTGCCTCCACCGCTCCCTGGTGTTTGTGAAGATCTTTCTGGTCATGTCCAGGTTCCTGAGATGGGAGAGAAAAGGGACTTTGGTGGCCAAGACCTAAATCACATGTTCTGTCAAGAAAGGGCAAAAGAAGAACACTGTAGCCTTTTCTTCTGGACTGTTTAGAAGTCACCATTACAAAACTACCTTTAATCCCTCCCCTGCCCCCCTCTTTTGAGGTCGGATCTCATGTATTCCAGGTTGGCTTTAAACTTACTATGCAGCCAATGATGACCTTGAACTTCTGCTCTTCTTGCCTTTACCTACTGAATGTTAGGGTTATAGTCATATGTCACCATTTTTTGGTTTCTGCATGCTGGGGATTGAACCCAGGTCCTCATGCTGACCATGCAGCACTGACTAAGCTGCATCGCCAACCCCCACTATTTCCTTTACAACCTATCCCTCCCAGTTGACCAAAATCACCTACAGTATGGAATTGCGCACACACGTGAATAAAGTATATGTTTAGCCCGGGAAGTGTTGGGTGTGAATGTTCAGTGTGTCAAGAGCTTTTCAGAAGAGAGCAAAGGTGCCAGGCCATAGTGGCACACTCCCTGTCAGCTGCACCATCAGTGGAGTGAGCTGTAGTGAGAGAGAGAGAGAGAGAGAGAGAGAGAGAGAGAGAGAGAGAGAGAGAACCCAGCCTCTTCATAACCCCGTCTATATGAGTCTTCACAGCATAGGGTAATACTCCCTGCAGACCCTGGGATCTGCTGCAGCTCCCTGTCAGCTGCACCATCAGTGGAGTGAGCTGTAGTGTAGAGAGAGAGAGAGAGAGAGAACCGAGAGAGAGAGAGAGAGAGAGAGAGAGAGAGAGAACCCAGCCTCTTCATAACCCCAGCCTCTTCATAACCCCGTCTATATGAGTCTTCACAGCATAGGGTAATACTCCCTGCAGACCCTGGGATCTGCTGCAGCTCCCTGTCAGCTGCACCATCAGTGGAGTGAGCTGTAGTGCTGTGCTGCTAGTGTTTCATGAACCGAGGTGTTCAATAAATTATATGTGGCGTGTCCTACTTTCTTATAAAATTGACTTTGCTTTGGTGATTTTGCCCACTGTAGGCTAAGGTGTTTTGAGCAATTTTAAGGGATGCTGGTCTAAGTGATCTTCTATAGGTTAGGTGTGTCAAATCCATTTTCAATGTGTATTCTCAACCTATGGCAGATGCTTGAGGAGGGCTCAGAACTGCATCCTGGGTCAAGGCATGGCTTTATTGTACGACTGGACCCTCAAGAGCAAGCTGCTTTTGTTTACCTGAGGGAGGAAAGTAGATTCTGTAGAAGCAGAGAAACAGCACACCTACATGCTAGAGCAGGCTTCCAAGGAGACCACACCTCCCTGTAAATCAGGCCTGTGGACTAGGTCTCTTCCTGTTTAGAAACGTGCACTGCCCCATTACCCTGTATCTAGCCTGAGTTATTTCTGAATATTTCGGCCTTTGGTTCTACAATAGAAGCATGTTCCCAGGACGTTACCCCAACTATACCTGAAACAGAAACCCAGATCAAGGGGATTTGAAGACAGGAAGGAAACTCTTAGGGTTGTTCACACTGGAACTGGCCAGAACTGAGGGACAAAGTTGTCTTATCAAAAGAGGGTTTAGCTCACTGCCAAGTCAACTCTAGTCCCATGGGGAGTAGGGGTCCTTTTCAAGCTGAGAGCAAAGAAGATTAGGCAGGGTAAACTGGTTGTGGTGTTTTTCTAAGACGGCTGGAGTCTATTGTACTAGACAGACAGAAGGATCAGTTAAAAAAGAAAGAAAGAACGGAAAGAAAATGAAAGGAAAGGAAAGTAAAAAGAAAGACTCTTCTAAAATGTAGGCTGCCATCAGAGGGATGCCTGGTAATTCCTTGTTGATTTAGCCTCGAGTGTTTGACTCTCCTTCTCCATGGGAGAAATAGAAATCAGTAACTTAACAAGCTGGAAAAGCTCAAAATAGAGGCCACTGGAAAATTGCTGCACTATACTTCTTAAATCAAAGGAAAATTGCATTTAGTGTTTTTTTTCCAGTTGCACGGACTGATTGCCACTAATCTTGATTTCAGAGCAAACTAAGAGAGGGGAAATTTCACACCAGATGCCATGGGTAGATGGTGAAATAAGGGCAAACATCAGTGTCACTACTGAGGCTTCCCGCTAGGCTGGGGTTCATTAACTTTTTTTTTTTTCACTTTTGCACCACGAATCTTTTTGGTGGTCCAGGGAAGCCTGGGTTTGCAGTCTTCTCAGAACAGTGGCTTTAAATATGTATTGGTTCCTCTGTCAAAATTTTACATGTGTCAGTTAAAATACAGGAAATAATGAGTCCTACTTGGTAGTTATTAAAATACTGAAATTAAAATGCAGTGTGGTAATACATTTGCTTAATTTTTAACACATTAAAAACTACACTTACTACCATAATTTCTAAGAAATGACATTTGACTTTTTTTTTTAAAAGATCCACAGCATTTGAGATGTGAGATGCAAGTATCTGGGACTTCCACTAGTGACAAACGTACCCCTACTGTCTTGTCTTAGAATACATTTTTGCTACTATATTATTATATTTTAAATCATAGTATCTGAGCAGCTACTAGAAATGATTTTAAATGCATCAAATACATAGACACAGGGAATGGTCTGTGTCTATGTATTTAATGCATTTAATATCATTATTCTGAGACAGAAATAAAAATGGATTTCTTTATTTAGAACCATGTGAATATTAATGTACTTTATCAGCTATATTTGTAAAAAGAGGAAATACTACATTTAGAATAAGTGTTAATCGAAAATTAAGATATAATATCTCCCTATCCAAGTTCATAGAGCTTTCGAATTCTAGCCACATATCCCTGGGTCGGAGGGTTATAGACTCAAGTCAAGTATAAGCTTTAAGTGCTGGAGGGATGGCTCAGAGGTTACCGTCACTGACTGTTCATCTATGGCTCCTGGGTTCAACTCCCACAACACACATGGCAACTCATAATTGTTTGTAACTCAAGTTCCAGAGGACCCTACCCCTTCTTCTGGGTACCAGGCATGTGAGTTGTACAAACACACACACACACACACACACACACACACACACATATATACCCATACACACAAAATTTTTTTATTAAAAAAAGATTTCAAGGTCTGCCTGAACAACTTATTTCACTATGGCATGGGTGCTGTAGAAAGCACCTGAACGACGTTATGTTAAATACACCATGAAGATAGAATGTACAACCTCTTTCTCTTGTCGCCGGTGGAGGTAACACTCAGGGAAGAAAACTACTTACGCTCCTAGGGAAGGTGTCCACTGTTGCAAATAGACAATGTGCTCTTCCGGGTCCACAGTTCCTGGACACAAACCCCAGACCAACTGGAAAGGTACAAACATCTGCAGCTAACAGCGCTACAGGGTTATCCTCGGGCCTTCAGGCTCACACAGGTCTTTTATTGTTCTTTTTATTATTATTCCCGTAAGGTTGTCAGTTTCTCTACTGCAACTCTATCCTCTGTATCTGTCTCTTCCTACAACGTTTTCTTGGAAGTGTAGATATGCCATAGGAAGAAAGCTGGACAGCGGTTTGAAGAGCTAGGTTGGGAATGGAGTCTAATAGCCAACACTAGGCACAGTTCCTCTCCGTTAAAAAAAAATACCAAATAAAACTTACACAGGTGTGTGGTTGGAGGGGGTGTAATGACGGTAGCAGGTGGTGGGAGATGAGGGAAAGAAATGACTAAATCACAGGTTATTTGAAAATGTTACAATGATATCAAACGCCTTTTATGTTAATTTTAAAAGTTTTCTATACCAGTTTTTAAAAAATTAAAAAGTAAACGGTACAAGGACGATTTCCCATCTATTTAACCCATCCCACTCCCCAGCTTCTGCGATTCTGAGATGTACACTTCATGCTCATTCACACATAATCATACACTCAGATCTTAGAACTCTCTCTACAGACTATCGCATTTGTCTCTCTTAAGCAACCACAGGGAAAGCTTGGAGTCAGTCGAGCGCACTGGATACCTCTTTGTGGCGAGCGGACTGAGGCGGTCCCCTTCAACAACTTTCTTGAGTCCAGGGGCCATCGCGGCCGAGGAGCACTTTACACCGGTGCCTCGCAGCCTGCTCGCGTTTGACGTCTCTGCTCTTTCTGTCCAATCTGCAGCTTGTCTGCGAACCCTCTATTTCCCAGCTATCCCTTCCCCACTCTTAAAAAACAAAAAGTTACCTCATCTCACCGTGGCAAACCTGCCCGATATGTTATTTCGGGAGTCTGGGAAAGCATCTAGAGGTTGAAATTACACATCTGCAAAGTATCGGAGGATCGCTGAGAGAGCTGGCGGCGGTATAAAGAGCCCCGGAGATGCTCTGGGTTGCAGGGGACTGGCGCTGGTTCCAGCTAACCACGGACACGGCTTGGACAACACACGTGCCTTAGGAGGCTAGACAGGCTCCCTAGTACCGCGCCACTGTCTGTCTCTGCCCCTCTAAAGTTCCCTGGTCACCTAAAGAGTCCCTTAAGTGGCTGCTACCAAGTGGCCACATCTCTCTCTTTTCTCTCTGGTCTGTCCGGTGGCCCCTTTGCTTCTGCCCACTCCCGCTCTCTTAGGTCAACTTCTTCCCAGGAGCTGGAAGCCCGCGCTGTCACAGCGTCTGTCGCAGCAGACCTCGGCTGTCCGTGTGCGCCCTCGCCTGGACACAGAGCCTCTGTCACAACCTTTATAGGACACCGCCCTTTGTCTGGCGGCAGGAGGGGGCGCTTTTCGCCGAGGACACCCGCCAGTTACTCCCCGTTTTGCCGCATCAACCCTCCCTTGTGCAGCGGCTAAGGAGCAATGTTGGAAGGAGGACCCCTCTTTGTCCGAGGCTTTAGGGGAGGGGATACTGCTTCCAACCTCCTCTTCCTGCCAAGCACCCGAAAGCTTAGAACTCTTGCTAACTCATCGGGTGCTTCTTCAAATCCCAGCACAGGTGTCGTCTGATCCCAATGCCCAGCTCCAGACCCGCTAAATGAGTTTGGGAGAAGCGGCCTGTAACCTGCAA